AGTCGAAAGATGCCAATCAGAAAGATGGACCTGTACATATAAGCTACCTTAACTTAATGGACTTAGCTGGTTCTGAGAGAGTTTCTCTGACGAAAGCTGCTGGTGAGCGTCTTAAAGAGGGGGCTAACATAAACAAATCTTTGTCAGTATTAGGAAATGTGATAAGGCAACTAAGCGAGGGGAAGGAGTTTATCAGTTATCGCGATTCGAAATTGACTAGACTGCTCTCACAGGCTCTTGGCGGTAATGCCAAATCATTGATTATCGGGAATGTTACTTTAGCTGCAGAGGAGGAGACTAGATCTACACCAGAATTCGCCCAAAGCACTAAAACTGTCAAAATAAAACGAAAGTAAACATCTTGTCAGCTACAGAAGAGACACTTCAAGGATATCAGAACTTGACTCGCGATCTCGAAACTCGGCTCAAAAAGCAGGCAATTAAGCTAAAGAGATGGATAAAAGCAAACAAGAGTATCTGCTCGAGATAGAAAGACTAAAAACGGAAGTATCTATTGTCGGGCGCTTTCAAATGGGAGCCTCGGCATCAACACCGAAAAAAACATTAAGACGTCATACTTTTGGACACTATGGCAACGTATCACCTAAAAAAGCATCCCTAGGGTATATGCCATTGAAAAATTATCCACCCAAAGAAGAATCATCCGGACGTGAAATGAGGCCTATTCAAGAAGAGACATATGAGGAGGCACTAGCCGAAGCAGAATCTGTGATAGCTGAAGACGTGCAAGTGTACTTAAAAGACAACTCAAAGAACTGGAAGAATCTTTCAATGAGCTTATAGAATTCACTAAACTAGATAATCAGCTGGAGATTTTGGACCTGAAGAAACAGCTCACAGAAGCCAATTCTAAATTCGATCGTTACAGTCAGGAACTCCGCCAAGTAACGGATGCGTACAACGAAGAAATAGAAAGAGTTCAAAAAAATTCTCAAAAAGCGCAAGAATTTCATCGACTTGCAATACAGACTCGATTTTCTGGAAAAAAATAATAAAAAGACTAAAAACATACGAGTCAGAAATAGAGATGCTGCGTACTCAACTGAAGAACCTAGGAAGATCAGAGAGCCCTAAACCATCTCTTGAAGCTCAAAATATTGAGTCAAAAAAGAAGGTTGCAGACTTAGAAGCTATGCTTGACGCTGAGTACGAAGATACGCAACATTCTTTAAGTGCTGCTGCACAAACTGATGTAACGATGTCACACATTGCTGAACTGCAAGATGAAATTGGCTTCCTAAAAGAACTTGAATCTAAACTGAGAAATGACGTAAAGAGTCTGATGGACGAGAGTAACCAACGTGAGGTCAACCACTCATTTAAAATCTCAGATATACGATGCCATAATGATTCTACTATAAAAGAGCTTCAGGATCAAATGGCTGAACTGGAATGCCAAAACGAAATCTGGATTATGAAAAAGGACGACGAAATCAGAAAATTGCAACAACTAATTACAAACCCGAAGCAGGCTGGCACTTAACCAGAACCACCTGTGCAGGAAGACGTTGCATTTTATAGGGAGCAAGTTGAGTTCTCCCAGAACATGTACAAAAATGAGATAATAGGTGGAGAGTTACGTATAAACCATAGAGAAAATCTTCAGGCAGTTAAACTAGAAATATGTCTACCCTTGTTTAGTGTTTACGATTATTGCAGGGTTTGGACAAAGTTTAGGGCTGATCCCAGTGCTCACAGTGTACAATTTTCAGCTAATAAATCTTGAATTCTGAGGTAACAAAATCAACTAGAACTCTGAAAAAGTGATTTATCAGAAATCATGCCCTTACTTCCATGATAAGAGGGATTCGTAAAAATTATAAGCAGGTTGTGGCTTATTATCTAGTAAAAGATACAAGAATCCCAGATCTGAAAACGATTATTGTTCATGTGATCACAAACTAGCAGCGACTTGGTTTGTGCGTTGTTGGCACTATTTCTAATCAGGGCGCAACGATCAAAAACGCACTTGAGACGATTTGCTCGGAGAATACTCACGGATCAAGTCCATTCCATTTTATAGTCAATGCTCAGAGTATTTCTACAATTTGTGATGAACCACATTTATTCAAAAATGGATGAAATGCTCTTATTGACATTAATATGAAAGTGAAGAAGCTGCACAGATTGAACATGTCTAGAATCATATAATGTTGATCAGCAAACAAGACCATACAAAGAGCTATGTAAATTGAAACCCAGCCACTTTGATTTTATAGATTCGTTCAAGAATATAGAAATTAATCCTTTAATGATATCGTCGGATGATTCGAGCTTTCTCAGTTATGTGGTGGGGGTCCCGTGACTTCTCATACGGTATGAGCACGTATACCTCAAACCACAGTTTAATTTAAACATCACAATTGTTGGTTTGTTGACTTTGCGGTCAAATTTGATCCGAGGATGTCAGTTGCGTGTACGATTTGAACTTCCTTCACAATGGATTTTTTCGTTGTTGACGGATGAACAATACACTATAGACTACGCCGAGGACGACGCTGCTATCGATCAACCTGAACAACTTCCTATGGGCGACCTCGCTATGCCTATGGAAAAAACATGTACAATTGGTCAAAACGAGCGCCTGCAACTGGTCGATTATTACGCATTTACCTGAACTAAAGTCCGTGGCAACCAATTTGGAAAATAATAACCCTGTGACTCGAGAAATGCCGATAAATTTCTCCAAATACGTGAAATTTTCGAGACACTCATAGAGAACTGTCGAAATTGTTATATTTCGGGTGAGTCCCCTACAAAATACGAGATGCTCGTGGGCCGATGTCCTTCCTGTGCCTACAAGAAAACTAAACCGAATAAGTATGGACTGATGATGCAAAGACTCACCACTACCTGCTCAATGCTTTCGTCTATACGAACAGAAATATCACAGCAGATGACTGGTTCACGTCAGTAGAATTACATGTAGAATTGCGCATCAACCAACTGACCTATGTCGGCAGGAAGCGTAAAAATAAGTAACAAGTACCCCAACATGTAGTTCCAAATAAGAAGGAAACACAGCCAGGTACTTCTAAGTTTATGTTGTACAGCCTTAGAGTAGTATCTTCCAAAACCAAATACACATGTTCTCGTATAGCAATCTATGCAGCATGATAACAAAATAGTAGAGGAATCAAAGAAACCTGATAAGATCCTATATTATTTTTATAACACTATGAAGGCGGGGGGTAATGCATTAGATCGGAAGTGTGTAAATTACAATACTGGTTAGAGAACGAGAAGATGGCCTTGTGCTATTTGGTATCCAACCAGCTTCTGTAAATTCCTTTTTTTTTCAGTCTGGGACTGAAAGTTCCACTAGGCGACGAAATTTTATTGTTCCCCTGAGGCAAACTCTAATTTAACTTCGTATGAGAGGACGTTTATCAGATCCAAGACTTCCTAGGGAGCTTCGTTCAGCCATGCAAAGAATCCTAAATTACCAACGACGAATAAAGTAAGCCGTCTACTTCTCAGCCCAGAGTTCTCGATCCTGATGCAGTTGTTAAAGAAAAAAAACGACGTAGGTGTTACATGACAATACACAATGAAAAAAATATTCTACAATCTGTAATAAGTATGTAAAGTCACAGCGCACTTACATTGTTTCGTGAAAAGTGATAAATGTTAATTATTGCATGTTTCCTTATACGAGAAAGTATTTGTTTTTGTTGTAGAATATCAACACCAAATATGTTGTTAAATGGCCCATTTTGTTAGTTTTTTTATGTTCATATTACAGTTCAAGTTTCGAGGATTATATTTATTGCATTACTCATCTTCAATGGGGTATTTTCGTTTTTAGACAATAAACAGTTTTCATGTAAGAGTGTCTTATGCGTACAAACCTGTTGTACACATGGCTAAAAACAGTAATGGCATTTCAGATGTTGATAGTAAGATCCGGTGGATAACCTGTTTTGCGAGATTAGACGTGGGATTTCCAACACGAACACCATCTGTTTATTTGAAGCATTAAAAACTGTAATAATCAACAATTTCAGTTTTCCATTGACAATAATGAAGAATTATGAAGGCGATTCATGTAAGGCACTAGGTAACTTCGCGTTGCTTTTAGAAGAGTATTGTCTGAATAGACAACAGTTACCTTGTGATTCTTCACCGAGCTGCATTTTTCAAGTTGAAAAATCGGGTGCTGAAAGTGATGGATCTATAGATTTGTGAGAATTTGCTGCTGCTTCAACTTCTTTTTGTAATAACAATAACAGTCTATATGAAATTTAACAATTCTGTTTCTTCTTTGATTTTGAGTCACCCTGTAAATGTAGCTCTACTAAACTATCGGACCGCATTCATAGCCTACAAGAGAAAAAAATCTTCTATACTGGAAAGGAGGAAAAAAAGAATGTATCAACCTGATACATCTGCCCCTCTTTATAACCCGTGAAATAGCCCTAGTTCTAATTAAATTTCAGTTCAAGCTTCCAAAATGACTTCCAACAATATTAAAGTAGCCACAAAGATCAGACCAATGATCCACCGCGAAGTAGCCGATGGTCTAGAGCGTCTTTGGAACGTAAGAGTAAACTGCATATGGGAAGCCGATGAAAGTAGTCGCCATGGAGAGGTTTATATATTCGACCATGTATTTAATCAGGAATGTACAAATTCAGATGTATATGGATCTGTAGTAAAACCTTTAGTCGATTCCTTCATGGAAGGTTTCAATGCCACAATATTTGCATATGGCCAAACATCTTCTGGCAAAACACACACCATTTTGGGCAATAAAACAGATCCTGGGCTTTTCCAATTAGTATCCAGTCAGTTATTCCAGCATGTGGCAGACCAGGTTGATAAGAGGTACTTGATTAGATGCAGTTATATTGAAATCTACAATGAAAAGATCAATGACCTCCTGGATAAGAGCAATCAGGGTTTAACTATGAGAAGATATCAAAGGAAATGTGCTGCTTGATGCAAGGGAAGCTGTCGTAGACAATGTTGATAAAGTTATGGAGAACATGATGCAGGGCAATAAGATCAGACGAGTTGCAGCTACTCGCATGAATGAGAGGTCATCTCGATCACACACGATTTTCCGGATTATTCTGGAGTCGAAAGATGCCAATCAGAAAGATGGACCTGTACATATAAGCTACCTTAACTTAATGGACTTAGCTGGTTCTGAGAGAGTTTCTCTGACGAAAGCTGCTGGTGAGCGTCTTAAAGAGGGGGCTAACATAAACAAATCTTTGTCAGTATTAGGAAATGTGATAAGGCAACTAAGCGAGGGGAAGGAGTTTATCAGTTATCGCGATTCGAAATTGACTAGACTGCTCTCACAGGCTCTTGGCGGTAATGCCAAATCATTGATTATCGGGAATGTTACTTTAGCTGCAGAGGAGGAGACTAGATCTACACCAGAATTCGCCCAAAGCACTAAAACTGTCAAAAATAAAACGAAAGTAAACATCTTGTCAGCTACAGAAGAGACACTTCAAGGATATCAGAACTTGACTCGCGATCTCGAAACTCGGCTCAAAAAGCAGGCAATTAAGCTAAAAGAGATGGATAAAAGCAAACAAGAGTATCTGCTCGAGATAGAAAGACTAAAAACGGAAGTATCTATTGTCGGGCGCTTTCAAATGGGAGCCTCGGCATCAACACCGAAAAAAACATTAAGACGTCATACTTTTGGACACTATGGCAACGTATCACCTAAAAAAGCATCCCTAGGGTATATGCCATTGAAAAATTATCCACCCAAAGAAGAATCATCCGGACGTGAAATGAGGCCTATTCAAGAAGAGACATATGAGGAGGCACTAGCCGAAGCAGAATCTGTGATAGCTGAAGACGTGCAAGTGTACTTAAAAGACAACGCAAAGAACTGGAAGAATCTTTCAATGAGCTTAGAGAATTCACTAAACTAGATAATCAGCTGGAGATTTTGGACCTGAAGAAACAGCTCACAGAAGCCAATTCTAAAATCGATCGTTACAGTCAGGAACTCCGCCAAGTAACGGATGCGTACAACGAAGAAATAGAAAGAGTTCAAAAAAATTCTCAAAAAGCGCAAGAATTTCATCGACTTGCAATACAGACTCGATTTTCTGGAAAAAAATAATAAAAAGACTAAAAACATACGAGTCAGAAATAGAGATGCTGCGTACTCAACTGAAGAACCTAGGAAGATCAGAGAGCCCTAAACCATCTCTTGAAGCTCAAAATATTGAGTCAAAAAAGAAGGTTGCAGACTTAGAAGCTATGCTTGACGCTGAGTACGAAGATATGCAAGATTCTTTAAGTGCTGCTACACAAACTGATGTAACGATGTCACACATTGCTGAACTGCAAGATGAAATTGGCTTCCTAAAAGAACTTGAATCTAAACTGAGAAATGACGTAAAGAGTCTGATGGACGAGAGTAACCAACGTGAGGTCAACCACTCATTTAAAATCTCAGATATACGATGCCATAATGATTCTACTATAAAAGAGCTTCAGGATCAAATGGCTGAACTGGAATGCCAAAACGAAATCTGGATTATGAAAAGTGCCCCTCTTTATAACCCGTGAAATAGCCCTAGTTCTAATTAAATTTCAGTTCAAGCTTCCAAAATGACTTCCGACAATATTAAAGTAGCCACAAAGATCAGACCAATGATCCACCGCGAAGTAGCCGATGGTCTAGAGCGTCTTTGGAACGTAAGAGTAAACTGCATATGGGAAGCCGATGAAAGTAGTCGCCATGGAGAGGTTTATATATTCGACCATGTATTTAAGCAGGAATGTACAAATTCAGATGTATATGGATCTGTAGTAAAACCTTTAGTCGATTCCTTCATGGAAGGTTTCAATGCCACAATATTTGCATATGGCCAAACATCTTCTGGCAAAACACACACCATTTTGGGCAATATAACAGATCCTGGGCTTTTCCAATTAGTATCCAATCAGTTATTCCAGCATGTGGCAGACCAGGTTGATAAGAGGTACTTGATTAGATGCAGTTATATTGAAATCTACAATGAAAAGATCAATGACCTCCTGGATAAGAGCAATCAGGGTTTAACTATAAGAGAAGATATCAAAGGAAATGTGCTGCTTGATGCAAGGGAAGCTGTCGTAGACAATGTTGATAAAGTTATGGAGAACATGATGCAGGGCAATAAGATCAGACGAGTTGCAGCTACTCGCATGAATGAGAGGTCATCTCGATCACACACGATTTTCCGGATTATTCTGGAGTCGAAAGATGCCAATCAGAAAGATGGACCTGTACATATAAGCTACCTTAACTTAATGGACTTAGCTGGTTCTGAGAGAGTTTCTCTGACGAAAGCTGCTGGTGAGCGTCTTAAAGAGGGGGCTAACATAAACAAATCTTTGTCAGTATTAGGAAATGTGATAAGGCAACTAAGCGAGGGGAAGGAGTTTATCAGTTATCGCGATTCGAAATTGACTAGACTGCTCTCACAGGCTCTTGGCGGTAATGCCAAATCGTTGATTATCGGGAATGTTACTTTAGCTGCAGAGGAGGAGACTAGATCTACACCAGAATTCGCCCAAAGCACTAAAACTGTCAAAAATAAAACGAAAGTAAACATCTTGTCAGCTACAGAAGAGACACTTCAAGGATATCAGAACTTGACTCGCGATCTCGAAACTCGGCTCAAAAATCAGGCAATTAAGCTAAAAGAGATGGATAAAAGCAAACAAGAGTATCTGCTCGAGATAGAAAGACTAAAAACGGAAGTATCTATTGTCGGGCGCTTTCAAATGGGAGCCTCGGCATCAACACCGAAAAAAACATTAAGACGTCATACTTTTGGACACTATGGCAACGTATCACCTAAAAAAGCATCCCTAGGGTATATGCCATTGAAAAATTATCCACCCAAAGAAGAATCATCCGGACGTGAAATGAGGCCTATTCAAGAAGAGACATATGAGGAGGCACTAGCCGAAGCAGAATCTGTGATAGCTGAAGACGTGCAAGTGTACTTAAAAGACAACGCAAAGAACTGGAAGAATCTTTCAATGAGCTTAGAGAATTCACTAAACTAGATAATCAGCTGGAGATTTTGGACCTGAAGAAACAGCTCACAGAAGCCAATTCTAAAATCGATCGTTACAGTCAGGAACTCCGCCAAGTAACGGATGCGTACAACGAAGAAATAGAAAGAGTTCAAAAAAATTCTCAAAAAGCGCAAGAATTTCATCGACTTGCAATACAGACTCGATTTTCTGGAAAAAAATTATAAAAAGACTAAAAACATACGAGTCAGAAATAGAGATGCTGCGTACTCAACTGAAGAACCTAGGAAGATCAGAGAGCCCTAAACCATCTCTTGAAGCTCAAAATATTGAGTCAAAAAAGAAGGTTGCAGACTTAGAAGCTATGCTTGACGCTGAGTACGAAGATATGCAAGATTCTTTAAGTGCTGCTACACAAACTGATGTAACGATGTCACACATTGCTGAACTGCAAGATGAAATTGGCTTCCTAAAAGAACTTGAATCTAAACTGAGAAATGACGTAAAGAGTCTGATGGACGAGAGTAACCAACGTGAGGTCAACCACTCATTTAAAATCTCAGATATACGATGCCATATTGATTCTACTATAAAAGAGCTTCAGGATCAAATGGCTGAACTGGAATGCCAAAACGAAATCTGGATTATGAAAAGTGCCCCTCTTTATAACCCGTGAAATAGCCCTAGTTCTAATTAAATTTCAGTTCAAGCTTCCAAAATGACTTCCGACAATATTAAAGTAGCCACAAAGATCAGACCAATGATCCACCGCGAAGTAGCCGATGGTCTAGAGCGTCTTTGGAACGTAAGAGTAAACTGCATATGGGAAGCCGATGAAAGTACTCGCCATGGAGAGGTTTATATATACGACCATGTATTTAAGCAGGAATGTACAAATTCAGATGTATATGGATCTGTAGTAAAACCTTTAGTCGATTCCTTCATGGAAGGTTTCAATGCCACAATATTTGCATATGGCCAAACATCTTCTGGCAAAACACACACCATTTTGGGCAATAAAACAGATCCTGGGCTTTTCCAATTAGTATCCAATCAGTTATTCCAGCATGTGGCAGACCAGGTTGATAAGAGGTACTTGATTAGATGCAGTTATATTGAAATCTACAATGAAAAGATCAATGACCTCCTGGATAAGAGCAATCAGGGTTTAACTATAAGAGAAGATATCAAAGGAAATGTGCTGCTTGATGCAAGGGAAGCTGTCGTAGACAATGTTGATAAAGTTATGGAGAACATGATGCAGGGCAATAAGATCAGACGAGTTGCAGCTACTCGCATGAATGAGAGGTCATCTCGATCACACACGATTTTCCGGATTATTCTGGAGTCGAAAGATGCCAATCAGAAAGATGGACCTGTACATATAAGCTACCTTAACTTAATGGACTTAGCTGGTTCTGAGAGAGTTTCTCTGACGAAAGCTGCTGGTGAGCGTCTTAAAGAGGGGGCTAACATAAACAAATCTTTGTCAGTATTAGGAAATGTGATAAGGCAACTAAGCGAGGGGAAGGAGTTTATCAGTTATCGCGATTCGAAATTGACTAGACTGCTCTCACAGGCTCTTGGCGGTAATGCCAAATCATTGATTATCGGGAATGTTACTTTAGCTGCAGAGGAGGAGACTAGATCTACACCAGAATTCGCCCAAAGCACTAAAACTGTCAAAAATAAAACGAAAGTAAACATCTTGTCAGCTACAGAAGAGACACTTCAAGGATATCAGAACTTGACTCGCGATCTCGAAACTCGGCTCAAAAAGCAGGCAATTAAGCTAAAAGAGATGGATAAAAGCAAACAAGAGTATCTGCTCGAGATAGAAAGACTAAAAACGGAAGTATCTATTGTCGGGCGCTTTCAAATGGGAGCCTCGGCATCAACACCGAAAAAAACATTAAGACGTCATACTTTTGGACACTATGGCAACGTATCACCTAAAAAAGCATCCCTAGGGTATATGCCATTGAAAAATTATCCACCCAAAGAAGAATCATCCGGACGTGAAATGAGGCCTATTCAAGAAGAGACATATGAGGAGGCACTAGCCGAAGCAGAATCTGTGATAGCTGAAGACGTGCAAGTGTACTTAAAAGACAACTCAAAGAACTGGAAGAATCTTTCAATGAGCTCATAGAATTCACTAAACTAGATAATCAGCTGGAGATTTTGGACCTGAAGAAACAGCTCACAGAAGCCAATTCTAAATTCGATCGTTACAGTCAGGAACTCCGCCAAGTAACGGATGCGTACAACGAAGAAATAGAAAGAGTTCAAAAAAATTCTCAAAAAGCGCAAGAATTTCATCGACTTGCAATACAGACTCGATTTTCTGGAAAAAAATAATAAAAAGACTAAAAACATACGAGTCAGAAATAGAGATGCTGCGTACTCAACTGAAGAACCTAGGAAGATCAGAGAGCCCTAAACCATCTCTTGAAGCTCAAAATATTGAGTCAAAAAAGAAGGTTGCAGACTTAGAAGCTATGCTTGACGCTGAGTACGAAGATATGCAACATTCTTTAAGTGCTGCTGCACAAACTGATGTAACGATGTCACACATTGCTGAACTGCAAGATGAAATTGGCTTCCTAAAAGAACTTGAATCTAAACTGAGAAATGACGTAAAGAGTCTGATGGACGAGAGTAACCAACGTGAGGTCAACCACTCATTTAAAATCTCAGATATACGATGCCATAATGATTCTACTATAAAAGAGCTTCAGGATCAAATGGCTGAACTGGAATGCCAAAACGAAATCTGGATTATGAAAAAGGACGACGAAATCAGAAAATTGCAACAACTAATTACAAACCCGAAGCAGGCTGGCACTTAACCAGAACCACCTGTGCAGGAAGACGTTGCATTTTATAGGGAGCAAGTTGAGTTCTCCCAGAACATGTACAAAAATGAGATAATAGGTGGAGAGTTACGTATAAACCATAGAGAAAATCTTCAGGCAGTTAAACTAGAAATATGTCTACCCTTGTTTAGTGTTTACGATTATTGCAGGGTTTGGACAAAGTTTAGGGCTGATCCCAGTGCTCACAGTGTACAATTTTCAGCTAATAAATCTTGAATTCTGAGGTAACAAAATCAACTAGAACTCTGAAAAAGTGATTTATCAGAAATCATGCCCTTACTTCCATGATAAGAGGGATTCGTAAAAATTATAAGCAGGTTGTGGCTTATTATCTAGTAAAAGATACAAGAATCCCAGATCTGAAAACGATTATTGTTCATGTGATCACAAACTAGCAGCGACTTGGTTTGTGCGTTGTTGGCACTATTTCTAATCAGGGCGCAACGATCAAAAACGCACTTGAGACGATTTGCTCGGAGAATACTCACGGATCAAGTCCATTCCATTTTATAGTCAATGCTCAGAGTATTTCTACAATTTGTGATGAACCACATTTATTCAAAAATGGATGAAATGCTCTTATTGACATTAATATGAAAGTGAAGAAGCTGCACAGATTGAACATGTCTAGAAATCATATAATGTTGATCAGCAAACAAGACCATACAAAGAGCTATGTAAATTGAAACCCAGCCACTTTGATTTTATAGATTCGTTCAAGAATATAGAAATTAATCCTTTAATGATATCGTCGGATGATTCGAGCTTTCTCAGTTATGTGGTGGGGGTCCCGTGACTTCTCATACGGTATGAGCACGTATACCTCAAACCACAGTTTAATTTAAACATCACAATTGTTGGTTTGTGACTTTGCGGTCAAATTTGATCCGAGGATGTCAGTTGCGTGTACGATTTGAACTTCCTTCACAATGGATTTTTTCGTTGTTGACGGATGAACAATACACTATAGACTACGCCGAGGACGACGCTGCTATCGATCAACCTGAACAACTTCCTATGGGCGACCCTCGCTATGCCTATGGAAAAAAACATGTACAATTGGTCAAACGAGCGCCTGCAACTGGTCGATTATTACGCATTTACCTGAACTAAAGTCCGTGGCAACCAATTTGGAAAATAATAACCCTGTGACTCGAGAAATGCCGATAAATTTCTCCAAATACGTGAAATTTTCGAGACACTCATAGAGAACTGTCGAAATTGTTATATTTCGGGTGAGTCCCCTACAAATACGAGATGCTCGTGGGCCGATGTCCTTCCTGTGCCTACAAGAAAACTAAACCGAATAAGTATGGACTGATGATGCAAAGACTCACCACTACCTGCTCAATGCTTTCGTCTATACGAACAGAAATATCACAGCAGATGACTGGTTCACGTCAGTAGAATTACATGTAGAATTGCGCATCAACCAACTGACCTATGTCGGCAGGAAGCGTAAAATAAGTAACAAGTACCCCAACATGTAGTTCCAAATAAGAAGGAAACACAGCCAGGTACTTCTAAGTTTATGTTGTACAGCCTTAGAGTAGTATCTTCCAAAACCAAATACACATGTTCTCGTATAGCAATCTATGCAGCATGATAACAAAATAGTAGAGGAATCAAAGAAACCTGATAAGATCCTATATTATTTTTATAACACTATGAAGGCGGGGGGGTAATGCATTAGATCGGAAGTGTGTAAATTACAATACTGGTTAGAGAACGAGAAGATGGCCTTGTGCTATTTGGTATCCAACCAGCTTCTGTAAATTCCTTTTTTTTTCAGTCTGGGACTGAAAGTTCCATTAGGCGACGAAATTTTATTGTTCCCCTGAGGCAAACTCTAATTTAACTTCGTATGAGAGGACGTTTATCAGATCCAAGACTTCCTAGGGAGCTTCGTTCAGCCATGCAAAGAATCCTAAATTACCAACGACGAATAAAGTAGCCGTCTACTTCTCAGCCCAGAGTTCTCGATCCTGATGCAGTTGTTAAAGAAAAAAAACGACGTAGGTGTTACATGACAATACACAATGAAAAAAATGTTCTACAATCTGTAATAAGTATGTAAAGTCACAGCGCACTTACATTGTTTCGTGAAAAGTGATAAATGTTAATTATTGTATGTTTCCTTATACGAGAAAGTATTTGTTTTTGTTGTAGAATATCAACACCAAATATGTTGTTAAATGGCCCATTTTGTTAGTTTTTTATGTTCATATTACAGTTCAAGTTTCGAGATTATATTTATTGCATTACTCATCTTCAATGGGTATTTTCGTTTTTAGACAATAAACAGTTTCATGTAAGAGTGTCTTATGCGTACAAACCTGTTGTACACATGGCTAAAAACAGTAATGGCATTTCAGATGTTGATAGTAAGATCCGGTGGATAACCTGTTTTGCGAGATTAGATGTGGGATTTCCAACACGAACACCATCTGTTTATTTGAAGCATTAAAAACTGTAATAATCAACAATTTCAGTTTTCCATTGACAATAATGAAGAATTATGAAGGCGAGTCATGTAAGGCACTAGGTAACTTCGCGTTGCTTTTAGAAGAGTATTGTCTGAATAGACACAGTTACCTTGTGATTCTTCACCGAGCTGCATTTTTTCAAGTTGAAAAATTGGGTGCTGAAAGTGATGGATCTATAGATTTGTGAGAATTTGCTGCTGCTTCAACTTCTTTTGTAATAACAATAACAGTCTATATGAAATTTAACAATTCTGTTTCTTCTTTGATTTTGAGTCACCCTGTAAATGTAGCTCTACTAAACTATCGGACCGCATTCATAGCCTACAAGAGAAAAAAATCTTCTATACTGGAAAGGAGGAAAAAAGAATGTATCAACCTGATACATCTGCCCCTCTTTATAACCCGTGAAATAGCCCCTAGTTCTAATTAAATTTCAGTTCAAGCTTCCAAAATGACTTCCAACAATATTAAAGTAGCCACAAAGATCAGACCATGATCCACCGCGAAGTAGCCGATGGTCTAGAGCGTCTTTGGAACGTAGAGTAAACTGCATATGGGAAGCCGATGAAAGTAGTCGCCATGGAGAGGTTTATATATTCGACCATGTATTTAATCAGGAATGTACAAATTCAGATGTATATGATCTGTAGTAAAACCTTTAGTCGATTCCTTCATGGAAGGTTTCAATGCCACAATATTTGCATATGGCCAAAATCTTCTGGCAAAAACACACACCATTTTGGGCAATAAAACAATCCTGGGCTTTTCCATTAGTACCAATCAGTTATTCCAGCATGTGGCAGACCAGGTTTGATAAGAGGTACTTGATTAGATGCAGTTATTTGATCTACAATGAAAGATCAATGACCTCCTGGATAAGAGCAATCAGGGTTTAACTATAGAGAAGATATCAAAGGAAATGTGCTGCTTGATGCAAGGGAAGCTGTCGTAGACAATGTTGATAAAGTTATGGAGAACATGATGCAGGGCAATAAGATCAGACGAGTTGCAGCTACTCGCATGAATGAGAGGTCATCTCGATCACACACGATTTTCCGGATTATTCTGGAGTCGAAAGATGCCAATCAGAAAGATGGACCTGTACATATAAGCTACCTTAACTTAATGGACTTAGCTGGTTCTGAGAGAGTTTCTCTGACGAAAGCTGCTGGTGAGCGTCTTAAAGAGGGGGCTAACATAAACAAATCTTTGTCAGTATTAGGAAATGTGATAAGGCAACTAAGCGAGGGGAAGGAGTTTATCAGTTATCGCGATTCGAAATTGACTAGACTGCTCTCACAGGCTCTTGGCGGTAATGCCAAATCATTGATTATCGGGAATGTTACTTTAGCTGCAGAGGAGGAGACTAGATCTACACCAGAATTCGCCCAAAGCACTAAAACTGTCAAAAATAAAACGAAAGTAAACATCTTGTCAGCTACAGAAGAGACACTTCAAGGATATCAGAACTTGACTCGCGATCTCGAAACTCGGCTCAAAAAGCAGGCAATTAAGCTAAAAGAGATGGATAAAAGCAAACAAGAGTATCTGCTCGAGATAGAAAGACTAAAAACGGAAGTATCTATTGTCGGGCGCTTTCAAATGGGAGCCTCGGCATCAACACCGAAAAAAACATTAAGACGTCATACTTTTGGACACTATGGCAACGTATCACCTAAAAAAGCATCCCTAGGGTATATGCCATTGAAAAATTATCCACCCAAAGAAGAATCATCCGGACGTGAAATGAGGCCTATTCAAGAAGAGACATATGAGGAGGCACTAGCCGAAGCAGAATCTGTGATAGCTGAAGACGTGCAAGTGTACTTAAAAGACAACGCAAAGAACTGGAAGAATCTTTCAATGAGCTTAGAGAATTCACTAAACTAGATAATCAGCTGGAGATTTTGGACCTGAAGAAACAGCTCACAGAAGCCAATTCTAAAATCGATCGTTACAGTCAGGAACTCCGCCAAGTAACGGATGCGTACAACGAAGAAATAGAAAGAGTTCAAAAAAATTCTCAAAAAGCGCAAGAATTTCATCGACTTGCAATACAGACTCGATTTTCTGGAAAAAAATAATAAAAAGACTAAAAACATACGAGTCAGAAATAGAGATGCTGCGTACTCAACTGAAGAACCTAGGAAGATCAGAGAGCCCTAAACCATCTCTTGAAGCTCAAAATATTGAGTCAAAAAAGAAGGTTGCAGACTTAGAAGCTATGCTTGACGCTGAGTACGAAGATATGCAAGATTCTTTAAGTGCTGCTACAAAATGATGTAACGATGTCACACATTGCTGA